GCGAGGGAGAAGGTAGGGGGGAGGAGGAGGGAGGAGTAATCATGGTAGGAGAAATAGGAGGAAGAGGAGGAGGGAAATAGAAGGGGGAAGAAGAGAGGAGGAGGGACGATGAGACTGAAGGAATTTCAAAAAAAGCAGGAGGAGAAGAGCATGTGTAATATGACAATGATCTTGTCGAATGACACGTGTCAGTCGACGACCGGTAGTACCGTTGTTTGTCCTTCTCCCCCACCGCCCCCCCTCACCCCCCCCCCCCCCCCCCCCCATACCCCCCCCCCCCCCCCCCCCCCCCCCCCCCCTTATCCCCAAGGATGTCTGTTGCGGCTTGGTCCATCGAACCAGGACGTGTAGAGCGCTTCTTGTTTGTCCAATCAGGATGTATCTGTTGTGGCTTGGTGTGATCAGTACCGTCATTATTGCCTTCGCCCAACAATGAGGATCTGTACTATATTTGCGTCCAGGTTCATCCATTGGCTACCACAGTACACATGCATCATTGTGCTATATGCATCCAGGTTCAACCCGTGGGGTATTTTAGCAATCAGGATGTAGCTGTTGTGGCTTGGTGTGGTCAGTACCCGTCATTATTGCCTTCGTCCAACAATGAGGATCTGTACTATATTTGCGTCCAGGTTCATCCAGTGGCTATCACAGTACACATGCATCATTGTGCTATATGCGTCCAGGTTCAACCCGTGGGGGTATTTTAGCAATCAGGATGTATCTGTTGTGGCTTGGTGTGATCAGTACCCGTCATTATTGCGTTCGCCCAACAATGAGGATCTGTACTATATTTGCGTCCAGGTTCATCCAGTGCCTATCACAGTACACACGCATCATTGTGCGATATGCGTCCAGGTTCAACCCGTGGGGTATTTTAGCAAATGCATCATCTCCTATGCGTCCAGGTTCAATGATCCATATGGGAGTATGTACCCTTTTTTTTTTTTTGGTACTCATTGATTTCCTTGTCCTTTGTGATAATAATAATGATATCTAAAGTTAAAACTTCAATCGATACCTGAACCTGGACAGGGTTCTGAATTCATTTGTCTTTTCTTCTCCCTCCCCTTCACATCCTCACGTGACTGACTTTACGTCGCTTAATTGGTTCGTTGAACTTGGACGCTAATCGGGCTCACATGTAAGCCATACCACGTACTTGATTCGCAAAGCACAGGTGGTATGGTGTAAATGTGAGAGTCCGATTAGCGTCCAAGTTCAATGAACCAATTAAACTTGAGAGTCCGATTAGCGTCCAAGTTCAACGATAAATGTGAGTCCGATTAGCGTCCGGGTTCAATGTACCAATTAACCGTGAGAGTCCGGTATGTGTCCAGGTTTCCGAATCAAGCACAGGTGGTATGGCGTATGTGTCCAGGTTTCCGAATCAAGCACAGGTGGTATGGCTTAAATGTGAGTCCGATTAGCATCCAGGTTCAACGAACCAATTAAACGTGAGTCCAATATGCGTCCAGGTTCAATGATCCAATTGATTGATCCAATTGATTGTGAGCTGGACGTGAGTCCAATATGCGTCCAGGTTCAATGATCCAATTGATTGTGAGCTGCGTCCAAGTTCAATGAACCAATTAAACGTGATTCCAATATGTGTCCAGGTTCAATGATCCAATTGATTGTGAGCTGCGTCCAAGTTCAATGAACCAATTAAATGTGATTCCAATATGCTTCCAGATTCAATGATCCAGTTGATTGTGAGCTGCGTC